CCCCCCCCCCCCCGAGTCGGCCAAATTACCGGATTAATCCCCCAGAGTGCAATTACTCAGTGCGTCCCTCTAGTAAAGTCATTCATCTAGTATAAAAAAATGTGAAAATTAAAAATTATGGAGATCGCGTCGTTCGACGAGCCTCCTCTCGTCGATTTGTCCGGGAGTGCGCTGTCGGGGCCGCGTCTCGTCGTCTGGCAGGCGTCCAAGGAACGTCAGATTGCGAGTAGCCAAGTAAATACAGAATACGCCGACGAGAAGACTCCGTTATTAACACTGTAGTGTCACGAATTACAGGGCTTCCTCACAACCCACAATTGCTCACCCGCGACACCAAACTCTCTTTCCAAGCCCAAATGAATAAATTAACAATTTAAATAAACAATTCCCCCAACAAAATCCGTGAATCTCATAAAAAAATCTGCTGAGTAGTTGGATGTTGGATTATCTCAGCAACAAGTGGTTCTACCGGGAAATGTCAAGAGACATTTTTTGCGGAAAATTGAATTGCCCACAAAAAAGTTCTTTTGACATTTTGCCGTAAAGTCAATGGTTTTCGAGATAAATGCAAAAAGAAACCGAGGGATTTGAGAAAAAAAAACGAAATGAAGAATTCTCGAAAAATTTAAGGGTGCGGTTTTCACGATTCTCGCGTTTCCATTAACATCGCCGTGCGGTTTGTGAGAACAGCAAAAGGGGCGACTACGTAGGCCATTTTATCCGTGATCCACGCAATGAAGAGTGTGAGAGAAAGAGGGACTTTAAAATCCCAATGTATTTTTACTCCGGACATCACGGCGCCGAACAACTCGTAAATAGACTCACGGGGCAAACGTCTCTCTAAATTGCGGGATAACTCTACACGCATGCTTTGGGTATACGACGAGAAACAACACCGTCACGACCAAAAGACGTATGGATCATCGTCGGTCTAGCGTCGACGGGGAGTCACTGATGTTTTCATTTGTTCACTAAAAAAATCCCCCCGTTGCTTTCCATGTCTCGGTCCAAAAATCGAGATGAATGAACTCTCGTGTTGGTAATTTTCGTTGAGCAATGAGGATGATTAATTTTTATTATCATTTTTGCATTGAACTTGAGGAGAAATGAGTGGATAATTGCAGTTGTTGGATAAATGAGTCCGATATTACTGTCGTTATCTCTGTTATAAGCGATTTTAGAGGAAAATGTCACAAGACATTTTCGATGGAAATTTAATTCTCTACAAAAAAGGTCTTCTGACATTTTCTCGTAAAAGCACTCGTTACCGGGATAATCACACAATTTCGAAAGACTTCATGACCCATTCAACCTCCAAGGATCAAAACCCATCAATTTTCCTAAGGAAAATCTGAAAAAGACTCAACAGACAATTTTCATAATGATTTTGACATCCTCCGAATGCATTTAACGCTTCCATTCGAAAGTAAAATCGATAAAATGGCCCGAGTCCAGTTATTATGGTCGTTATTCTATTTATAAGTGATTTTAGAGGAAAATGTCACAAGACATTTTCAATGGAAATTTAATTCTCTACAAAAAAGGTCTTCTGACATTTTCTCGTAAAACCACTCGTTACCGGGATAATCACACAATTTCGAAAGACGTCATGACCCATTCAACCTCCAAGGATCAAAACCCATCAATTTTCCTAAGGAAAATCTGAAAAAGACTCAACAGATAATTTTCATAATGATTTTGACATCCTCCGAATGCATTTAACGCTTCCATTCGAAAGTAAAAACGATAAAACGGCCCGAGTCCAGTTATTACGGTCGTTATCCTATTTATAAGTGATTTTAGAGGAAAATGCCACAAAACATTTTCGATGGAAATTTAATTCTCTACAAAAAAGGTCCTCTGATATTTTCTCGTAAAAGTGCTCATTACGGAGATAATCACACAACTACAAAGAACTTCATGATCCACCCACCCTCCAACAACGAAAACCCATCAATTTTCCCCCCAAAAATAAAAAAAAAATCAACAGTTTTCCCTCTTGTCCACATTTACATGACATCATCAATCACGTTTGGCGCCACTCTTCGTCATTCTAAAGCCGAATGTTTGTATCTTCCTCCGTGTGACGTCATAGGCGAGTGAGAATACTTGAAAAACAATTCATTAAACCCTGTAATGCGCTTTCAGTTAATACTATCAGACACGTTTGCGACTTTTCGAGGCCGTAATGAGCTCTAAACGATTGTTGAGTTCGTGTTTTTGATGAGGTCATTAGCTAACGATTTGGCAGAACTTATCGTCATTATCTCCAAGGTTTATTCAATCCTCAAAACGTTGTTTTTTTTTCTTCTTTCCCTCGATTAACATCTTCATCTCAACCACCTGTCCTCCCCCACTCCCCAAGATCAATTAGCCCCTCATGTATAGATATTCCAAATTTTTATTTTTTTCCTCATTGAAGTAGTTTTGAAAAAAAATTGCGGGCTAATAAAAAACATTTGCTAGTTAGTACTTTTTTTAAATAAATTTTTGAAAAATTACCCCTGAAAGAAAGGGCGGTATCCCCCCTATTTTATTATTTCCAAAAAATTTTGTGATCAATCGGTAGCAAATTGTTTGAAGATTTTTGCGAGTTAAGAAAAAATCGTCAATGCACTCCTATTAGTGTGTAAATTAACAATTCCAATTTCAACTGAAAACCAGAGTTGATGACCAGAGTTTGCAGCAGNCTAGAATTTTCCAGATACTTCAATTGACGAATTCAATTTTTCTCGAATTTTTCCGGGCAACCGGTCGATGGCAAGGTAAATAAAACGACGTGTTGCGGCAATTCCCTCGCATCGTGACCAGTCTAGGGTTAAAGTGGCTCTATATTTTCAGTTGTTTAATTTTTCAACTGAATTGCATTGAAAAAATTTGAAAAAATTCATACCCTGTCAGTATTATCTAAATTAAATTTCGCAAAATATTGATATTTTTTCAAACAATTCCCTCTTACAAATAAATAATAAAACTTGTTTGCAAAAAGGTGGATTATTTTTTATGAGGTGTCAAAAACTTCTTGATTTTTTCACATCTAATGAAAAAAAATCAGACTTTAATCTGTGATTACAAGGGAAATGTTGATTTACGATACAAGTCAATTTTGACTATTGACCGGTTTTCAATGAATATCTCGGAATCTAAGGGAGATAGCTAAATTTTTGTTACAACCGTTTTTGTGGGGCCGATTGAGAGCTACAACAAATGTAATTACGAAAATTTCGCTATCTCNGAGAGGTGATTTTTCAAAAATTTATTTTAAAAAAAGTACTAACTAGTAAATGTTTTTTATTAGCTCGCAATTTTCTTCAAAACTACTTCAATGAGGAAAAAAATAAAAATTTGGAATATCTATACATGAGAGGCTAATTGATCGGATTTCTCCGTCAACTCCCAAGAGTGAATTAACCCTAGTCGGATCACCTGACGGGAAAATGCGACTTTAGTCACATTCGCGGGAGAGCGCCGCCGTGTCATTTAGGCGCCAGCGTTGCCGAATCCACTCTACACTCCCCGAGCGCGTTTAGCGAGTTCCTAGCAACGTCGCGCAACAGGGAATTTCATTCAACACGAGAAAAAATCTTTCACCCGTTGGAAATAATTTTTTTTCTTCCAGAATTAAGGAGACAATATTGAAAAAAAAATACTAGAATTTTCCAGATACTTCAATTGACGAATTCAATTTTTCTCGAATTTTTCCGGGCAACCGGTCGATGGCAAGGTAAATAAAACGACGTGTTGCGGCAATTCCCTCGCATCGTGACCAGTCTAGGGTTAAAGTGGCTCTATATTTTCAGTTGTTTAATTTTTCAACTGAATTGCATTGAAAAAATTTGAAAAAATTCATACCCTGTCAGTATTATCTAAATTAAATTTCGCAAAATATTGATATTTTTTCAAACAATTCCCTCTTACAAATAAATAATAAAACTTGTTTGCAAAAAGGTGGATTAT